TCATGAACGGCAGTCCCAAGACCGCGACGAGCGCTCATTCCCACCATAGGAAGGTGACTTCCTTGGACAGATTACAAGCCAATTTGAGGAGTCCAAGAACTCCACCGCCCGAGTATCCAGTTGATGCTCAGGACGATGCCGTCCAAATGAGGTTATTGGGAAATGACTACCGGGACGGTGGTGGACTGCAAGAGGAGGAGGAAGAGGAAGAGGCGAAAGATAAAACACCAAAACCACTCTCTAAGAAGGATAAAAAGGCAATGGCGTTGTTGATTGTTTTATGTGAGTGAAAGTCGCGTCCACTGAGTAATGAGTCTTGGGTGCTGACGGACGTGTCACTTGCAGATCTTATTCAGGGCGTACCAGTAAGCTCACCATCATATTTTTCACATCTCAACTGGTGTTCAAATATGTCTACAGTTGGGTTTGGCATTGGGCTCTGTGCCTTTCCTGTTACGAGAACATTTAACCTATAACCAACTCAGCTTCATCTCCCTATCATCATACCCATATTCGCTCAAGCTTTTCTGGAGTCCTATCGTCGATTCACTCTTCTACTGGCGTATAGGACGACGAAAGTCATGGATTGTGCCCATGCAATTTATTATTGGGACGATGGTAAGGCTTTCAACTATGGGCAGAGATTCATCCGTTGCTAAATTGGTTTACAGATGCTTTGGATATCATTAAATGCTCCAGTCATGATGGAAAAGGTCTGTCTTGTTGACGTGGCTACAGACCATTCTTTGTACTTAGTACCTTTTCAGCCCGAAGATCATCTAGTTGGACTCACTATCACTTGGACATCCCTCGTTTTCTTTGCTGCCACTCAGGACATTGCAGTGGATGGCTGGGCATTGACGTTGCTCTCTGACGATGCGAAAGCATACGCATCCACAGCCCAAACCATAGGTCTGAACACTGGATACTTTGCATCGTACACCGTCTTCTTGGCCTTCAATAGCGAAACCTTCTCGTAAGCCAGCTTTCATTACTTCTAGACAATATATTGAGCCGCTTTATCCATGTAGCAAAAAATATGGTATTCCTCAATTGACATTAGCATCGTATCTTCAATTCTGGTGTATTGTCTGCTATTGCGTGACAGTATGGCTCCTACTCTTCAAAAAAGAGGTAAACTAAATGATAGAGTCTACAATGATACACGTCTGATTGTGTTTTAGGAGCCCGTGTCACCGGACGATCCTGATCTTCGCCTCGTCGCAGTTTACAAGAGTATGTGGAAGATGGTTAAACTGAGGCGTGAGTAATTGCTATTCGCGAAAAGGATCGAAATCTTACACCATCTATAGACATCCAAAAGATCTTCTTGGTCCATTTTGTAGCCAAAATTGGTTATATGGGTCACGAGGTCGTCACTTCTCTGAAACTCGTGGAGAAGGGACTTCCCAAGGAAGACCTCGCCGTCGCCGTTTTGGTGGACTTTCCTTTCCAAATCATTGCAGGCTGGCTTGCAGGGAAATGGTCCAGAGGTGAAAAGCCGCTTAGGCCGTGGCTGACCGCGTACTGGTTCAGAATTATGTTTGCATTTATAGGCATGGCCATGGTTGCAACCTTCCCGGGGGCTCCACTAGGATGGGGTTGGTTCATGTTATTCATTTTGTTCGTAGTAACGGGAGGCTTTGCTGCGTGAGCATCTCTCCTATCATTTCAAGATTTTGAGAACTAAATTGGCCAAAGGACTATCCAATTCGTGGGAGTATCGGCTTTCCACACCAGGATCTCTGATCCAACTATCGGTGGGACATACATGACGGTTCATATTTTTCAAAGTTTGTGTGTACAGTGTCATTGACGTAGTCTTTCCTACAGATGTTGAATACAGCATCAAACTTGGGTGGTACTTGGCCAGGATTTTTCGTCTTGAAAGGTGTCGATTTCTTCTCAATCTCTCATTGTGAAGCAAAGGATGAGGCCTCTAAGCTCCTGGTAAAGGGTAAGTATTCACCATCTTCGATACAGTAGTCTATGATCTTGATGTTTTTGCCTTATAGCCACAGAGTGCGTCAGTGAAGTAGGAAAGAAGACTTGCAAGAAAGCTGGCGGAACTTGTGTCATAGAAAGGGACGGATACTACGTCGTATCTTTGATATGCATCGCAGTAGGCCTTACCCTATGGATAGCATTTGTGCGACCAACTGCCATGAAACTACAAGGTCTGTTGCACATCTAGGCACTCCTCTACAACTAGGTACTCATCCTCATTTAGCCTTACCATTCTCCAAATGGCGTGTCAATCAACCCCGGTAAAGGGTTTCACCTTTAATGCCTTTTTGCATTATTAAATGACTTGCGATCTAGCAATGGCCTACTCTCATAGTTTATTTATACCATTGGACATGCTTGCAATTAGCAAGTAATATTATAGCGACGGCCACCCTAGCTTTTTTATGAGACAATAATTCAAACTCCTTTCGCATTCTCCCATGGAAGTGTCGAGTCCGAGTATATTGCATGACTAAGTATACTAAACATTGAAACATAACATTCATTGATATAGAAAACCTCTGGTATAGAAGCCAGAATAGAGAGTTGACCTCTACCAATAGATGCCAAAACGATTGGCAGGGCGAATAGAAACAGTTAAACATAGAAAGGTCTGCTGATTTTGAAGCCAAGGGTAAATCGACCTTCAGATATCCAATACCGATGGTTACCGGGCCAAAGAAGTGACATCGACAGACGAGCGGAGAGACGAAAGGATCGGGTTTCATCGCCCTTCATACGATCCCAAAGCGTCTCGGACACTCCTCCGCAACTCGTCATCTTCACGGGGAAGTTGACCTGTAATCCGTCGGGAAACAGATGAAGCTGCACTTTCCGCAGCCCTATGAGTTTGGGTTCGATGATCCATATTTCGTCCGCTCCTGACGCTGCCAACGTATGGGCCATCCCCTTGAGGCGACATTTCAGCATCAAGCTCTCCATTGACATAATGCATAATTTTCTTTGCCAAGAGGGTAATTTCTTCTTGACCAGTGCCTTCGGCGTCTTCTGACATAGAATCACTTTGTGTCCTGCTGTACGTATTCGGAGAAGAAGGCTGAGAAACTGCAAGTTCTCGAATACTTGCAAGCAAAACTTGCGATTCGCAAATTTTTCGCGTGAGTTCAGGGTCTGTGGGATTCGTTAAGAAAACGCGAGGTTGAGTGGCCAGTTTACTAACCTCGCGACTCCAGGAGTTGTACAATAGTCCAAACAGCGATATGCTGGAAAGTAAGATCCGAACTCGTGAGGAATCGGTGAAGGTAGGCGTGCATGCCACCTTCGGGCTTATCCCACACGTCGTTGAAAGCGGTGTAGTCCTCTTCACTGACATGTGTATCTATCAGAGTGTTAATTAGTAATATCAAATAATCAAATGCAAGTAAATTTACCTTTAGAAGTCAAGTTACCCAATGCAGCCGCACTGTTACCTTGCACTTCAATACTCGGCGAATTGGTGAGTGGGATCAACACGTCGCAAATACCCATTTCTAGCAGCTGAGGTTTTAGCTCCTCTGCAAATATCGTCAGTGATCGTGAGGCCAAATGTTCGTAAAAGCCACCTACCACTTAGAGCCAAAACCGCGACACAAGCTGTCATCTCACTTTGCACGTTCATGGGTACTTGCATCACGAGATCCTTGATTTTCTGCACCGCACCTGCTTGTACTATTTGCATCTTGTTCCGCTCGGAAGATGCGGCCAAGTTACGTAGAGTGGAGATTGCATGGCACTGAACCTCCTCGTTTTCTTCAAACGACAAAAGCTCTACGAGGGGGTTCAAGAATCCAGCCTCAATGATAGGTGATTCGTTGGAAGGATGAATAGAAACGTTTCGAACGCATGCGGCAGCTGATAGTATGAGGGGCAGGTAAGTCGAGCAGAGCAATCGTAAGAGGGGTGTAAGACCGCCTGCTTTGACGATGTCGATTTGATATTTGTCATCACTGGCTAGGTTTCGTAATGCAAGTGCCGCTTGGCACTGCACCTTTAGACTTGGGCTGTCCATGAGCACAACCAGACTTTGTACTAGCTTGGGTTCGGTGGCGGCGAGCTTGCGGCGGTTTTGGGCATCAACAGCTATGTTGCTGAGAGCAGTTGTACAGTAGTATTGTACGTCCGTATCCGGGCTAGTCAAAAGATTGACCAAGACAGGGACGGCACCCGCATTCACCAGTTGAATTCGATTTTCGTCGGAATGGGTCATGTTCAATAGAGCTCCGGTAGCATTTCGCTGTACACGCATATCTTTTGAGCGTGCCAGACGCGTAAGTGGGACCAAAGCACCAGATCTCGCAATCTTGGATTTGTTCTCGTCTATAGTAGCACAGAATCAGCTCTTGTGCTCAAAAGTTCGATTCTTGTACGTACCATGAGTAGCTAAATTTGTTATACAACCAACGGCATTACACTGGACTTCGATATTTGGGCTTAACATTTGTCGGATGAGAGGCTCCAGTCCACCCAGCTTGACAATGAGAAGTTTGTTTTCCACTAAAGAGAAAAATCAGCTATAATTCAGATTAAATCATTATATAAGGAATTACCATTCACAGCAAGATTACCCAACGCAGCAGACGCAGCACGCTGAACGTCAGTGTCATGACTGCTCAGAAGAAAGAGGAGCGGGTCTAAGGTATCCCTTCCAACTTGTCGAACTTCTTTTTCTGTGATTTCTGCAAATGCTAGAGCAGCACTTCTCTGTAGGTCTATATTGTCGGAGAAAGACAACGTCGTCAGGGCCGATAGAGGTGAGCCGGTAAAGAAATTCGTAGTTGTTCGGTCTGCATATGGTTTGTTCAGCATGTATCAATATTATGTGAGCCTTTAGACCCACTTTCGAGATACTGAAGGAGGTCGGCAACAGCCTCCCGCTCGTTCTCAAGAAGTAAGGGCTCGTATGCTTGAGACTTGCGCGATTTGACTGGTTGAAGAGGATTGTACTGCTGTTAGCATGGCCCTATTCCATTTCTTTCGGTACGTACGGCATGACGAGCAGGCTCCCATGGCGGCAGTAGGACAAGGTTACGACCCACAGTGAACCACTATCACTTCCTCTCATGCCATCATTAGGTCCATATTCTCCTTTCACCGAAACTCCTGAAATACTGTGGTGTTTTGAGCCATGATCCTTAGAAAGACTGCAACAGGGCGGCTGTTCAACACCTCCAGGAAGAAACCGCGCGTCCATATTCTGGCTTAGGCACTCCCTCATACCAAGACCGTACGACGGATCACAGGCTTGATATCCCTGTCCTCGTGATGTAACTTGTCAACTGGTGCTCCATATTGGCCCGTTTATGAGTGCCACAACTACACTCTGAGCGGGCCGATTTGGGGACCACCTCAACTAGTTGGACCGAGGAAAGAACTTAAGGGACTCGACGTGTGAATAACCATATCAGCTTCCCCTTGTTACTCAGCAGAAATAATTGGTTTACCCAACACTGACGGGACAAACCGGGTTCTACTAATCACGAAAGCTTGGCCATCATGGACTATTCCCCGTATGTAACGTCAAGGCCTTACATGGATATCACCCATCGACGACTGTACAACCTAGTAATAGCTTAATGGAAGAGTTGCCGTTGTCACCTTCTGTCGAAGGTCCACATTTTCAGGCTATAGTTTCGTCAAAGGGTATAGTCATATACAACATCCTGAGACTTTGGGTGCCCTTTTTACCGGAAGACTTCTACCGACCCGACCAGAGGAGCTTCGCGAAGCGCGGCATTGCGGGGAAGCCCATGCATGCTCTTCTGCCCTTCGCACGACATTATTCTCGGCGTGAAGGAATCAATGACGACTCGTAGCAACCTCCCCCTCAGACGAGGGTTCTCCTTTCTTAATATCGTGCAGGTGTATCTTGAAACACTTGTCGAGCCATCAACGCCGGAAGAAGACCTCCAAATTGGGGCGGGAACTGTGGACGACATTCTGCTTCAAAACATACCAGAACGATATTTAAAGACGCAAGAATCGAGACTTTCATCGTCCGTTCTTCCTCTCGTCCTTTCGACCCTTCCGCTCTTTAGCTTTTTACCCTCATCATGAGGTTGTCATTCCTTACAGTCATGAGTGGTATACTCATCAATGAGGTATCCTCAACACCCACTCCATTCGTTCATCATAACAAACGAGACATGGATGTCAATGGTACGCTTTTCCCTATTCGTTAGAACATAAGCTGACGACTTCATCTAGCCGTCAAAGGCAAATGGGACGCAGCATATGCAAAGGCCAAGACCGCATTAACCTCCTACAATCTCACACAAAAAGTCTCTCTGGCTACTGGTGAGTTCGACCACTGGGAAACGAATCATCTATCTCTAACCAAAATTAGGTGCTGGTTGGCAAGCTGGGCCCTGCGTGGGCAACATCCCCGCTGTGAGTATGATTCATATGTGATATTAAGCACCTCTAACTCGTCCCTAAAGATTCCTGAACAAAACTTCCCCGGGTTATGTCTCCAAGACAGGTAAGCAAGGAGGCTTTCCTTTTTGATACCATCCTGACACTGTTGGCCAAGTCCATTGGGTATAAGATTGGCCACCGAAGTCAGCGCGTTCCCAGCTGCTATTAATGCAGCTGCGACATTCAACCGAGACCTCATCTATCAGCGTGGTGAGGCAATGGGCGCTGAGTTCAGAGGAAAAGGCATCCATGTTGCGCTAGGGCCTATGATGAACTTCATGCGGGCTCCAGCAGGTAAATTCATCATTGTCCCTATTAAATTTCGCTAACCAGTGGAAGGTGGACGAGCGTGGGAAGGCTGGGCAGCTGATCCCTATCTTGCCTCCGTTGGCAGCGTAGAGACGATCAAAGGGATCCAGTCTAAGGGTGTCCAGGCTACGTATGTTCTCTCTTTTTGTTGACTTCAGACTCTTACATGATTTTAGGGCCAAGCATTTCCTCTATAAGTAGGGTCGTACTCCACATCAATAGCTTTTGATCTCACACTATCAACAGCGAGCAGGAACATTTCAGGGACACCTCCAGCTCCAATGTCGATGATCGGTGAATATTTTCGAAACTCAATGATAGAAACCGTGTTTCTAATATTACTACAGGACTCAGCACGAAATCTATG